TTAGTTTTTTATGTGCCGCAGAACCCCGTTTTGTTTTTTCTGCGACATGGCCACCCTGCTGGAATAATCATTCTAGACGTACTGATTTCCGCTTTCCCTTTAAAAAATGAGTAAATTTTATTGGTTATTTTCCTACACCCTTTAAAATTAAAGTTTATATATTTTTTGTTTTGTTGGATTGTTTCTTTGATGGTCAGCATGCTACATCATAATCTTAACCACATTTACTTGGAAGTGAGGCTTACTGATTTCAATAGAACCTACACAGGATCACATTATGAAGCTGGAAAGTGCCATGACTAGTGAAAAGCGAATTCTGTAATATTCTTTGTGTGTTGGATTGCCAACCTCCAGGTGTGGCCTGGACATTTGTAATTACAGCTCATCTCCGGGCAGCAGATTAGTTATCCTGGAGAAAATGGTTGTTTTGGAGGGTGGACTCTCTTTGGAGGCCCCTCCTCTGGCTTCATCCCAAAATCTCCAGGAATTTTCCAAACCAGAGCTGGCAAGTCACAGCTGATTTGTGGCAACCCTGTAGGATTTTGAAGGCAAGAGACTAACAGGTGGTTTGCCATTGCTTGGCTCTGCATAGCAGCCCTGGACTGCCTTGGTAGTCTCCCATCCAAATACTAACCAGGGCTGACCCTGCTTAGCTTCTAGATCTGACAAAATCAGGCTAGCCTGGGCTATCCAGGTCAGGATATTCTTTTTTAAGAATGTTTTATTGTATTGGAGAATATAATTTTCTTTATTTTCCACTATATATAAAGTTCAATTTTTATAAGTACATGTTTACACCAGTTGTCTTTCCTTTAAAATCAAACAGGTCTATCTTATTTGTTATTGTCTTGTTTAACAGGACAATGAAAACCCTTTTATTTTTATCCAAGGGAACTGACTATTAACAGGAATGTTACTAAGGAATTCAAGAGCACTCTTAAAATATCTAAACATCGGGTGCTTTACAATATTATCCTTTTTGTGTTTCAGATTATATCTGCCCAAATATCTACTTCAGGCCTTCTGTTGCCCATTTTGCCTAAACTCAACAATGGAGCTTCGCCGCGCCCTGCCCGCCACAATTGAGACAGTGAGCGAACTTGAGGCCCCTTGCACGTCCTCGGTAGCGGGTTTAGAGTGTTTTAATCAGCTCAGTCTGGACGAAGTGGACAGATTGCTCGTCTCTGTGCGCCCAACGACATGTGACCTTGATCCGTGCCCCTTGTGGCTCATTAAAGCGGTCCCGAGGGGTTACGAGGCGCATTGCGGGATATTATCAACACGTCCCTCTCGAAGGGACGGTTCCCGAATGCGCTCAAGGACGCGATGGTCCGCCCCCTCCTAAAAAACCCATCTCTGGACCCAGCCGAATTGGCGAACTATCGGCCGGTGTCCAATTTGCCCTATTTGGGCAAACTTATAGAGAGGGCGGTGGCGCTACAGTTACAGGGCTTTCTGGAGGATGCTTCAGTCTTAGATCCCTTCCAGTCTGGTTTCCGCCCGGGCCACGGGACTGAGACGGCTTTGGTCGCCCTGACTGACGATCTCCGAAGGCATCTGGATCGAGGTGGTGTGGCGGCACTGGTGTTGTTAGACCTGTCGGCTGCGTTCGACACGGTCGACCACCAGTTGCTGACCCACCGCCTCGCCGATGTGGGGATTCAGGGGCTTGCCCTTCAATGGTTTGCCTCTTTCCTGCAAGGTTGGGGACAAAGGGTGGTTCTCGGGGGGCGGTGCTCCCGTAGGTATCCCCTTGAGTGTGGGGTGCCACAGGGAGCAGTCTTGTCCCCGATGCTATTCAATATCTATATGCGCCCCCTTGCCCAGATTGCCCGGAGTTATGGGCTTGGGTGTCATCAGTATGCAGATGACACCCAGCTCTATCTGATGCTGGGTGGAGCGGGGTTGGGGCTCCCTCTCCCGACCTTCGATGGGGTACCTTTGGTGCCAGCGTCTGGGGTTCGGAGTTTGGGGGTGCTCCTGGACTCCACTCTAATGATGGAGGCCCAGGTGGCAGCCACTGTCAAGTCCGCCTTCTTCCATCTTAGGCGGGCACGGCAGTTGGTCCCCTACCTTGACCGTGATGACCTGGCCACAGTGATCCACGCGACGGTCACCTCAAGGTTAGACTACTGCAACGCTCTCTACATGGGGCTGCCTCTGTCGCAAATCCGGAGGCTGCAACTGGTGCAGAATGCTGCGGCCAGGCTGTTAATGGGTCTCTCCAGAAGGGACCATGTGCGGCCTGCGCTGAAAGCACTGCACTGGTTGCCAATAGCGTACCGGATTCGCTTCAAAGTGCTGGTCGTTACCTATAAAGCCCTACATGGCCAGGGTCCAACCTACCTGAAGGACCGCCTCTCCCCGTATGTTCCCCCAAGAGCACTACGGTCAGGGGCCCAAAATTTATTAGTCATCCCGGGCCCTAAGGATGTCAAACTAGCCGCCACAAGGACCAGGGCTTTTTCGGTGGCGGCTCCTACCTGGTGGAATGAGCTCCCGGAGGAGATCAGGGCCCTGCGGGATCTTATGCAGTTCCGCAGGGCCTGCAAGACGGAGCTCTTCCGCCAGGCTTTTGAGTAGGAGCCGCCGCCCCTACTATTCCACCACCGCCCTGAGGTCCCGATTAAACACCTACTATGGAAGAATCCTTCTGCTGTCTTCATGGGACTTTGGACATTCGATCTGCCATCTTTAGATTATGAATGGCACTGAGCACTTTGTTATTAGATTTTAATATGTAGCATATGTTTTAAATTGTTATGTATATATTGTTTTACCACGGCAAGTTGTTCTTGCCTCTGTAAGCCGCCCTGAGCCCACTGGGGAGGGCGGGGTATAAGTACGATAAATAAATAAATAAATAAATAAGTGTGACACATTTGGTGGTACATCTCAATTTTGCACATCTTTGTTTTATTTAGTTATTAAAAAGATATCTTACATTTCTTTAAGTCAAGCTAAGACAGCCAAACAATATAAGAAAACAAGATATTAGCTTCTGTTTAATGTCCACATTCGTACATCTATCTAAGTGTTTGTCAGTTGTCTGATTAATGGCTTCATTGGTTTGGGCAAGTCAGGAAGTGGATCTCTTAGAAGTTCAAGTCCAGCACTGGACTAACTTGTGTTACTAACATGTATCTGGAAAGCTGAAGTGAAAAGGAAAATAATGCTTTGGGTTACCCCAGACACACACACCTGGGCCTACCTTCTTCAAAAAATATCCATTTCCTTAGAACTACGTTGAAGAAAACTAAAAGAATACCTATATCCCTTTGTAATTTCACCATGCAATAGTTCAGTCCCTCTCCTTTTTTACAACTATTTGTATGGCAAGTGGATATTGTACTTTGCTGATTCAAAAGGTTATCTAGCATCTGAACCATCTTGTGTATCAAAATATATTACTTGGTTCTTTTGAGATACATCCTGACTACTAACAAAGGTCACATGGCTGATACTCAAAGGTAAGTCATGAGAGGACCTCCCCTGGAAGTGAGTGGCTGAACAGTAACAATGCACCCAGAGCTGTGTTAGCAGCCATGCATAGAGGTAGCTGGAGGCAGAGCTATGTGGCCTATTATGTTGCTTGCCCTCCATGCACACATGTTTGCGGATTTGACCCTTGGAAATATCTTATTGATTTCAATGTAGACATCTGTGTAAAGATTTTATTTATTTGATTTTAGACAGCCCTCCCCTGAAAGGCTCAGGGCAGTGCCCAGCATTTAGTAAATACATGTACTAAAGGTAAAGGTTTCCCTTGCTAGTCGAATCCGACTCTAGGGGGCAGTGCTCATCTCAGTTTCCAAGCCGAAGAGCCAGCGCCGTTCGAAGACGTTTCCATGGTCATGTGGCCGGCATGACTAAACAAGGCACATGAAATGCTAGTCAATAATAAATTTGGTTAAAACAATTAAACAACTAAAATAATACAATACAATCGCTAGTTCAGATGGCATCGGAAACCAATTTATACCTTTTCTCCTGGAGGGGAGGGAGGAGTAAAGGAGACCAGGCTCAATGAAAAAATGTTGCTGTCCTCAATCATAGGCCTGGCGGAACATCTCTGTCTTACAGGCCCTGCGGAACTGGACGAAGTCCCACAGAGCATGAATGTCACTAGGCAGAGAGTTCCACCACGCTGGTGCCAGGGCCAAAAAGGATCTCTTTCGGGCCAGGGATCACCAGAAGGTTCTGGTCCACTCTCTGAGGGGTATACCGGGAGAAGCGGTGCTCTAGGTACATTGGTCCCAAGCTTTTTAAGGCCTTGAAAGTTAATACCAAAACCTTGAACCTGACCCAGTACTCAACCTGGAATGCAGCTGGTGAAGCACCAGTTGGATATGTGCTGTCAAAGGGGCCCCTGTAAGGACCCGGGCCGCTATTCTGGACCAGCTGTAATTTCCAGGTCAGTTGTAAGGGTAGCCCTATGTAGAGCGAGTTACAGTAGTCTAGTCTGGAGGTGACCGTTGCATGGATTACTCTAGCTAGGTCAGGGCAGGACAGGAAGGGAGCCAGTTGCCTGATCTGGCATAATTGGATCTCGCAACATTTGTGATCTGTGCCTCCATTGATAAAGGTGTCCAGAATCACACCCAAGCTCTTGGTGGTCAGCACTGGTGTTAAAGGTGCACAGTCAAGAGCTGGGAAATATCACCCCACCCCTGAATCCCCCCTACCCAGCCACAGAATTTCCATCTTTGATGGATTAAGATTGTATAGTCAATAATGCTTAATAACTTAATAAATAACTTAATAAATAACTTAAATAATGCATAGTGAATAACTGTGCAAATGAGAATACTTGATGTTTTGTACAATTTGGTGGGGAGGCTGCTTGTGCTTAATATGTGATCTATTTTTATCACTTTGAGAATGGTTTCTGGTAGTTTCTAAATCATTTTAAATACATAATCTAAAGAACGTGATAATATGCCTTTAAAGAATCCCCATCTTTTTTCTTTCAGGTTCAAGGTGCCACCAATAAGGGTTAATCTGCTGTCAAAATTTTGCTCAGTTAATAAGAGAAGAGACTTCTTTGTTCATGGTACGGTCTTTTTTATTCACCAAGTAACTGCATGTGAAGTTTCACAGATTGATTATGGCCATATTGGGAAAGGAGAGTCTTTTTTTTTAATAGGAATACAGAAGAAAGAAAGGACATAAGAGAAAAAGGGAAGAAAATAAAATTATGAAAACACAATACAGGCAATTTTTAATGGATACTAAAGACAATCATTGATTTAAAAGTATATAAAAAAGATACATAACATGGTAGTTTAGTAAACCACAGTAACAACCTACTCAAAATATTCTACTATTTTCTCATAATTATGTTTTCATTTTCATCCTATCTTATCAATTATAAATAAAACAGGTAAATCTCATCAACTTTGTATATAATTCTAACATAACAGTTTGTGGTAATAAAAACTATGCAAATGATAATGTTCTTAATATTTCATATAAAAGTTGTCATTTATAAAATAAACCATTCAAATATATAACTACAAAGATTAATTATAGTAAGCATAAAAAGCTTGCCAATTGTTTTCAAATTCATTTTTTCATCTCTGATTAATATAATTTGTCAGTTTTGCCGTAACTGCATATTCTTGCATTTTGTCTACCCAATTCTCAAGAGCTGGACAACCCTCAGTCTTCCACTTTGCTGCAAATCCTACTCTTGCTGGAGTTAACATGCATCTAAGCAAATCATGCATTGTTCTATTGGCGCTCACTGGTAAAATTCCTAATAACATAGTTCCTGGTAACATAGCAAATTTTAGATTCAATTTTTTTTTTAATTTCAATATGTATTTCTTTCAAAAATTTGCTAGGGTTGTTTTGTTTTGTTTTTTGCAAGACCACATTTGGTATTACCACATATGGTAAAAAGTACCAACTATCTCCTTACATTTCCATCACAATCCTTTATCATTTTTATCCATCTTCTCGATGTCTTTTGGGGTAATATACCTGCGATAAAACATTTCATACCAATTTTCTCTGAGTGCTTGACTCGCTGTGAATTTTATATCTTTCATTCACAGATTTTCCCACTGTTCTCCTTACTCATGTCCATCCTCCCCCATACACACTTTATCTCTTCCTTACCTTCTCCTTGCTCCAGCCCACACCTTCTTTGGTCCTTTACCTCCAAACCAAGTATTTTGTTGCTCCTTCCCTCACTCCCAAGCACAGCTTGTCAGGGAAGAATGTTATGCTCCTCGAGGTTGTGAAGCATCCTGTCAGGACACAGTCTTTGTCCATTCTTGGCCATACTAAGCCTAAACCGAATAATGGCAACTCTTTGGTAATATACTTCAACCTTACATTACTCAGTTTCACAGTTCCAATGCTAATTTTCTTAATGAAAGAAGTTAAAACAGTAATAGTAGGTCAGAGTTATCTGTGGGGTTTTTTGCATTTATTAATGGCTTTAAAACCATCATTAATCTTATAGAATTTGAATTGACTGATATTTTTCACAATATCTTGACTTTCATATTGACTTGTAAAACAACGTTTTAATCATTTTTCTATAGGAGTTTTTCATCAGTATGTCTGAAACCATTAAATATAATGACGACGATCACAAAACTGTGTTCCTGAAAACATTAAATGAACAACGATTGGAAGGAGAATTTTGTGACATAGCTATTGTTGTAGAAGACGTTAAATTCAGAGCCCATAGGTGTGTGCTTGCTGCTTGCAGTACCTATTTTAAAAAACTTTTCAAAAAACTGGAAGTTGATAGCTCATCAGTGATAGAGATTGATTTCCTTCGCTCTGATATATTTGAAGAAGTTCTAAATTATATGTACACAGCCAAGATTTCTGTTAAGAAAGAAGACGTAAACTTAATGATGTCATCTGGTCAAATTCTTGGTATCAGATTTTTGGATAAACTCTGTTCTCAAAAACGTGATGTTTCCAGTCCAGAAGATAACTCACAGTCAAAAAATAAGTATTGTCTTAAAATAAATCGATCAATTGGTGAGTCTAATGATAACCAAGATGATGAAGTGGAAGAAATTGGAGATCATGATGATAGCCCATCAGATATGACAATGGAAGGGACACCTCCGAGTCAAGAAGATGGGAAATCCCCAACTGCCACTTTAAGGGTTCAGGAAGCAATTTTGAAAGAATTGGGGAGTGAAGAGGTTCGAAAGGTAAATTGCTATGGTCAGGAAGTAGAGTCCATAGAGACTGCTGAAACAAAAGAATTAGGATCTCAGACTCCTCAAGCGCTAGCATTTAATGATGGCATAAGTGAAGTAAAGGATGAGCAGACACCGGCATGGACAACAGCGACTGGTGACATGAAATTTGAATATTTGCTTTATGGTCACAGGGAGCAGATTGCATGTCAGGCATGTGGTAAGACATTTTCAGATGAAGCACGATTGAGAAAACATGAAAAGCTTCATACTGCTGATAGACCTTTTGTTTGTGAAATGTGCACTAAAGGCTTTACTACTCAAGCCCACTTGAAAGAACACCTGAAGATCCACACAGGTTACAAGCCTTATAGCTGTGAAGTATGTGGAAAGTCTTTTATCCGTGCTCCAGATCTAAAGAAGCATGAAAGAGTTCACAGTAACGAAAGGCCGTTTGCGTGCCACATGTGTGACAAAGCATTCAAGCACAAATCCCATCTGAAAGACCATGAACGAAGACACAGAGGAGAAAAGCCTTTTGTCTGCAGCTCTTGTACGAAAGCATTTGCCAAAGCATCTGATTTAAAAAGACATGAGAACAATATGCACAGTGAAAGGAAACAGGTAACTACAACAAGTGCTCTCCAAAGTGAAACAGAACAGTTACAGGCAGCAGCTATGGCTGCTGAAGCAGAACAGCAACTTGAAACTATAGCTTGTAATTAAAGGCAAAATAACTATATATTGGGAAATGTTTGATCTGATAAATCACCACTGAGAAAAAATATTTTTAAAGGGATTTAAGTATTAACAAAAATAGTTTGCAGCAAAGACCACTCTATCAGTGACTTCAAATGGGGAACAGTCTTAGTTTAGATGGTTAATCTACTATAAATAAAAATTGGAGTCAGCCTCTTGGCAGTAGTTTACTCCTGTATTAAAATTCTGTTTTTTCACTGCATGCGTAGTCCCATTGGAATAAAACTCTATGCATGTGGAATGAACAGCTTTACACTCCAATGCACAGTGAAATTATGCCAAAGTATATGGATTTAAACTATTTTTGTCCCGTTGACTTCAGTTCCTTTAACATCACAATCCTAAATATGTAATCTAGTTAATCAGTTAAATTCCTTCAGAATTCATTCTGTTTGAATGAAAAATGGTGGGATGCTGGGTGAAAGAGGGGAGAAACTATTTTGTCCGGGTCTCATCAGACTTCATGGAAATCAGTAGAAGTAAGTTCCTATACAAGTAGGACAAAATCAGTTTAATTCCAAGTCCTTTGGTTTCATTGATTTGCAGGTTGTGCTGTTACTGACTACTGAACATCTAAAATTATGTCTACTACACTGATTTTTTTTTTAAGAAAAAGAATGAGTACAGGAATTTGTTCAAAATTTTTAAAATACTATTTTAAGCATTTCATCTAATACATCTTAATAGTTGTCTAATTCCATCTTAAACTGCTGTGATTGGGTTGGGTCTGAAAGCTCCTTGCATTGGAGGAAGGCTCCACCCTTAGCAGAATGGAAACTCTAGATCCAACCCGTTAGTTTTGCAAGTTAATATAGGTGAGTACAACTGAAGAATGGGAAAACTGCTTTTTCTTTCCCTACTCTGCCTGGTAAGTTGGAATATCCTGATGTGTCTGTTTTGCCTTCACCATATACTTTAAGATGGCAATCCTATGCACACTTACTTGGGAATAAACCCCACTGTGCTTAGTGGAACTTGCTTTGGAGCAAACATGCACAGGATTGATCAGTAACAGATCTTACAGTAGTTTTTTGTGTATTTGAGGAAGTGGTATACAGTCTTGCACACTGCCAATATGATACTTTCCACAGGACCTTCAAGTTCCTGTGTGTTCCATTCCAGAACATACTTCATTGCATAAGGAAGAAGCATTATAATGTAACCCAAATTTAGTGTTTGTACTCAGTGCCATGCAAGAGTGAGGAATGTCCAGTCTTCTCAGTGGTTTTATAGTGTTTAGTGGCATTGGGACAGTTTCCTGCAAACCATTTCTTTTCTAAGGTCCATTTTTTGGTGCTCTATATGATTACTGTTCCTACCCAGGCCTCAAAGCATGAATTGCTAGCTGATTGGCTTGGTTTTGTTTTACTACATTTGAGAGGTTAATTGTTTTCTGATTGGAAGCCCAATCATAAGAAAGTGGAAAGAAGGGCGAACCGCTACTGCACCAGTGTTCATATGATAAAAGAAGATATTCACTAGCTGCATGTGTGGGAACTGTTTGAGAAGCCCGCCTAGCCATTGGGGCCCTCAGGTCTTCATGGGTATCGCACATCTGGATCCAATATCACACCAACATATTTTAGTTATTCTAGAAGCTAACAAGTAGAAAAGCAGTGGGCATGGGCAAAGAAGTAGGTGAAGATCTAATATAACTCTGGACTTTTCAGCCATTTTTTAAAATTAAAAGCAGCTCAAGGAAGTGAGGTTCATACAACAGTGAGCTGCAATAAATCTTTACTTCCTCTTCACAAATCTGATCCTGAATGGCTGGACAATTGGTAGCCCTGTAGTAGTCACTTCAGAGGATCAAGCTATATAGTGGGTTCACTATGACAGTTTAAAAAGCTTGTAAATTTATGGCTGGGTCATACCATTTCAGAATGTGAGTGATCACCCATATGATTGAATACTCTTCCTTTAAAAAATACAGATGACAAACTAGCAAGTCAGGGAAAGCTGCCTTTTTCAAACTTGCATGTGTATTTTTTAAAAAACAAGGAAAACAGCTGTGTGAGTCACCAACTACATTTTGAAGCAGTATGGCCATAAATTTACCACCTCTGAGATAATTCTAGTTCAGAAGCTTTTTCATGACTTTAGAGGCTTCAGAAGAATAGGATACAATTTGTAAAGGCTGCATGATAGAAAGGGGTATATTATAACAGTATTCTGTTTTGATTGACAGAAGTTAGAATTACAGTACTGTTGTGCTTGTTATATTTCCTACTAAAAAAATTAGATATTGTATTGTTGTAAACTACATCACAACTAGTTGCACTATTCAGCATTTTGAGATTTATATTCTAGTCAGGAGCATGTCTGCTTGGAAGTCAGCCCCATCAAGTTCAACTGGGCAAATGTATTAGTAAGTATGCTTAGGATTGCAACTTAATGCCCAACCTTAAGAGGAACAGTTATGAAATCATTACTTCACAAAATCACTAGATTTGAGCAACATTCATATTTTTTTTAGGGCTGCTGTCCAGAAAAGAGATCCAGTGAGGGAACCTTTAAAAGAACTGGTAGACATTTTCCGTCTTGGACATTTTCTGAAAAAAGGAACTGAAAATTTGTATGGTAGTTTCAAACTATGGCACTTCCCTGCCTTAATAAAAGTGATATTTAAAATGCAAACGTAAGACATCAGGCTGTGAAAGATTTCAGTTATCATAATTTCATTTGTAATGAACTGTAGAATGGAATATCTGTTTCGTGTGTTTAAAAAAAGCTGATAAGTCAGTTACACTCTAAATAATTTTCTCAATACATGTAAGACTAGTGGGTTTACATACTATTATCAAGAGTACATTTAAAATAGTGTCAGACAAAATGTGTTGTATTAACATCAGGTTAGAATAAGTTTCTAGAACATGTATTTATAAAATATTGTGTGGCAAATCAACTCTTGCATTTCTAAATAGAAATTAAGATTAACATTTTTAACTGTTAGAATAAAAATCATCTAACTATTGATCTTTGTTACAGTGTCATTGTGGATCATAGTTATATTTAAAATGGCAACAGTTTGAAAACTGTCTTGTAAATAAAACATGACTATTTTAGAATACATAAACTTTGTCTGTATATTTTTACAAAGTATTTGTTATATTTTGATACATTGGTTTCATCTTCAGTTAGACAGTTTAGATCTGGGGTGTCAAACATGTGGTCTGGGGGCCGGATCAGGCCCCTGGAGGGCTTCTATCAGGCCCACACTATCTCCTGCTTCTTCCTCCACTTCTGCTGCTGCTGCTTGCTTTGCCAGATTTTCTTAATCACTCAGGAAAGATAGGCAAGCTTCCCTGCAGTGGCTAAGGCTCCTCCCCTCCCCCTCCCAGGGGGAGAGAGGGAAGGAGCCAGAGCTTGCTTCCTGGCCAGGCTGCCTCAATCACACAGGAAACAAAGGCATGTCTTTCCTCCCCTCCATTGGCTGAGGCTCCTCCCCAGAGGGAGGGAAGGAGGGAGAGCTTGCTTTGCTTGGCTGCCTCAATCGCAGGGGGGAAATACAAAGCACCTTTAAGACTAACCAAGTTTTATCCAAGATATGAGCTTTTGCGTGCCTCACTGCAGTGTGTGTGTTTTGTCAGGCTCATTATGCCGTGGCTTTCCTAAGTGCAACTAGGCTCCCTCCCCCTTTTCACTGTATTCATGCCCTCATGATCTAATCTTTCTCAGTAGGAAAGCAATGTGAACTATTTAAATGAGGAATAACAACAAGCCAGCGAGGTGGATTAGACTGAGAGTGTGTGTCCAGACCAAGTTCACCCAGCACATTTCCTTTGGGGATTTTGAACTTAGACTTCCCAGATAGTAGGCTGATATTGACCACTGAGGAAGACTATAGTTTTGTAGACATAGCCCTCAGTCTGTGTCATGGTACCTTCTCATGTTATTGACGAGCACACAAAGCAGTTTATGTGCAAAAGCTCGCAATGCCCAGTCATTTAATGTTTTCCTCACGGTCTTAGGCTCAGAACTCTGAGCATCAGATTTCTGTAATGAATGTCAGTAAATCAAAAGTAGGTTTGCAGCTTACAGATACACATTTGAACAGCATACTCAGGATTGCTACAGCACAGACATTTTGGTGCAGTAATTCAGAGCAAGAGGTGTCAGTTATCAGACACTGCTAAATAAAGTATTGCAAGAGTGCTAATGTTTTAAGCATGTTTTTATTTTAAGTAAAAAAAAAAATTTATTGTGTTTGTGTCCCTTATAAAGTTTATATCTCTGCTACCTGGCATTACTTTTTATGACACACATGGTCCAGCCCAACAAGGTTTTGTTTATGTCAGATCTGGCCCTCATAACAAATGACTTTGACACCCCTGGTTTAGATAGACACAAGTAATCTAAGTGCCAGTTCAGTAAGTGACTGACACATGGGGACTTTGCTTGAGATGCAATCCCTAGAGTTTTGTGCTGGAAATTCAATTCCCGAGCATAGTTAAGAGCCCAACTCATATTGGGATGACGGTCTGCAGGAAAAGTGGACTTAACCCTCCCTCCCCCACAAGGAATATTTTCTTGACCTGAAATGGTACCATGGCCATTTCAGACAGGAGAAATGGCACATGGGGAAGGCTTAAGCCTGTTCTTCTTGTGCACTGTGCTCCTGACATGAATTGGATGCCTGAAGAGTTGGGAATTGTGTTCCCAGCACAAAACTCCATAACCACATCTGTTGACAGTCCTCATGTCTGCCACATGGATGTTGAAATGTGTGAATAAACTCTAAAGTGCCCTATTAACTTCTGACTGAAGGCTGTCTCATATCTTTTGGAACTATATATTTTCCTCCATTTATGGGATTGAGTCCAAAAGACCACAAGTAGAGTATTGCTTACAATACCAATAATTCATCTTCTGTCTTCAGTACAGTCCCACATTGGGACTGCGCATACACAGACCTGCCTTCGATAGGTGTTTTTTCCTAGCTTACAGCAATCAAAGGGGGAGCCCCTCCCTCTCAGAGCCAACACAATGGCATTTTTGCGCCCAAGCCATCATGTGATCTGAGGAGGGGTGCCCCCCCTTGCCCTCTGTTCCTTTTCTGCCACTGTGTTAGATAGGTTCTTCTAGCAATTGTTCTGTGCTTCCTGCTCATTTTTTCCAGCTGGAAGCCTTTCCTTTTCTCTCAGTGGGTCTTGGCTTTTTAACTCTGTTGGGATCATCAAGTGACATGTTCTTCGTGGTGGTGAGGTGGCTACCCCTCTTTCTATTTCATTGATTGGCCGATGTCTCCCCTTGGAGTTGTCAGTGGCATCCAAAGCTCTGTTTTAAAAATGCACCAAATGTGCAACAAAATGACCCTGTGCAACAAAAATG